GGTGGGGGCAGCGGTGATGATGGGAGCAGTGGCGATGATGGGGGCAGTGATGGTGATGGGGGCAGTGATGCTGATGGGGGCAGCGATGGTGATGGGGGCAGTGGTGATGATGGGGGCAGTGGTGGTGATGGGGGCAGTGGTGGTGATGGGGGCAGTGATGCTGATGGGGGCAGTGATGGTGATGGGGGCAGTGATGGTGATGGGGGCAGTGATGCTGATGGGGGCAGCGATGGTGATGGGGGCAGTGGTGCTGATGGGGCCAGTGATGGTGATGGAAGCAGTGGTGATGATGGAGGCAGCGATGCCTCATCCACGGCCTCATCCCTCCCATCCTGCTGTGCCGGGCAGAGCCCCGAGGAAGCCAAATCACCAAATCCTCTTTTCTCCGCCGCGGATGAAGCCTGCGCAGGGGCCGCTTCCCCCTTCCTCTCTGTTCCCCCCGGTACAAACGGACGGGAAGAACTCGGGCAGAGGCAAGGGGAAAGCTTCAGCTCAGAGGAGCACGGGGGGGATAAAATAATAATAGAGGAGGCAAAGCCTCCGGTGCGGGGATTTGGCTCCATCTGAGAGCTGTCAGCGCGCATCCAGGGCTCGGCTTTGAACCCGGCCTGGAGAGCGGCAGGGGAGGGAGGGAGGGAGGGAGCGGCCGCCCCAGGGCTCCGGCAGCCCCGCGCCTGGGCAATGGAGGGAGATGGGGATGGGAGGCGGCTCCCGCGCCCCTGCGCCCGCGGACACGTGTGGGGATGGTGTGGGGCAGGCATAGGGATGCTGTGGGGAAGGAGTGGGGCTGCTGTGGGGCTGCTGTGGGGCAGGCGTGGGGTAGGAGTGGAGAAGGAGTGGGACAGGGCAGGTGTGGGGCTGGTGTGGGGCAGGCGTGGGGCAGGTGTGGGGCAGGAGTGGGGCAGGAGTGGGGAAGGAGTGGGACAGTCATGGGGCTGGTGTGGGGCTGCTGTGGGGCAGGAGTGGGGAAGGAGTGGGACAGGCATGGGGTTGGTGTGGGGCAGGCGTGGGGTAGGAGTGGGGAAGGAGTGGGGCTGCTATGGGGCTGGTGTGGGGCAGGCGTGGGGCAGGTGTGGGGAAGGAGTGGGACAGGCATGGAGTTGGTGTGGGGCAGGCGTGGGGCTGGTGTGGGGCAGGAGTGGGGAAGGAGTGGGACAGGCATGGGGTTGGTGTGGGACAGGCATGGGGCTGGTGTGGGGCAGGCGTGGGGCAGGTGTGGGGGTGCTGTGGGGCAGGCATGGGGCAGGCATAAGGCCGGCCATGGGCACTCTGAGCCCCACGGGGACCCCGCACAGACACAGCCCCCTGCACACAGGCCCGTTCCCGTGCACACGTGGATGTGTTCCCATGCACACATGTGATTCCCACACACATGTGCGTGTTCCCATGCACACAGGCGTGTTCTTACATGCACGTGGCTGTGCTCCCATGCACCCAGGCCCATGGTCCCATGCACACTCCATGCACACATGCACATTCCCATGCACACAAGCACATACTGCTGTGCATTCCCATGCACACACACACACGTGTACCCATGTGTGCACCCATGCACATCCGTGCTCAGAGCCCAAGGCCACGGTGACGCAAGCCCCCCCCCCCCACGCCATGGTGCCAGGGCTGGGGCACAGGGACAGGGGGTAATCGTGATGGGGGGGACACAGTGATGGGGGACACAGTGATGGGGGGACATGGGAATGGGGGCACAGTGATGGGGAGAGACAGAGATGCAGGGACACAGCGATGGGGGGGGCATGGTGATGGGGGGGACACGGTGATGGGGGGGACACAGTGATGGGGGGGCATGGTGAAGGGGGGACACGGTCATGGGGGGCACAGTGATGGGGGCAGACAGAGATGCAGGGACACAGTGATGGGGGGGGCATGGTGATGGGGGGGCATCCTTTGCCTTTTGGGCCTCCTGTGCTGTGTCAAGGCCCCATAACATGGAATTCTCGGCTCTGGCTGTGCCGAGGCCCCCCCTGCACCCCCAGGCCCCAGGATCCGGATGGAACATCCCCATTCCAGCAGGATGGGCAGCACAGGGGGGGTGTTTGGGGGGGAAACGCTCAAAGCCCCCACCCGGGTCCCCTGGGGCACCCCAAAAGGGGGGGGGGGAAAGTCAGGAGCCTGCTGCACCCCAAAACCCAGCCGGTAACCAAGCACCCAAAGGGGGGAACACCAGCACCCACTGACCCCTGCCCTGAGGATCTGGGGTGCAGGAGGGTCCCATTGATGGGTGTTTTGGTGCTGGATTTAGGGGTCCCATCCCCCCTGCACCGGGTGGGTGCCATGGAGCATCCTCATCCAGCCCAGGGCGCTGCAGCCTCAATCCCTGCGGCTCCCAGTGATCCAGTGCCAGGATTAGCAGCAGGGCTGGGGCTGGGCAGGGGCAGGATGCTCTGCACTGGGAATGCTGGCGCGGCTGGAGGAGGGCAGAGCATCCACGTCCTCAGTGCCTGTCCCTGTCACCTTCAACTGCTGAGAGCATCACCCGCATCCCATCGCATCCCATTGAACGCCAATGCCAGGCCATGCAGGCGGGGGGCTGCAGGGGTCCCCCCCCGTGCTGTCTGCTCCTCCTGCTCCCTCTTCCCTCTCTGATCTTCCCTCGCTCCCACCTCTCTCCAGACACCTTCCGCTTTGATCTCCGCTCTGTGCTTTATTCCCCCCCCCCGGCTCCCCCCATCCCCGCTCCATCCCTCCCCTCTTTCCCCCGCCTCTCCCACTCCCGTTGCCTCCCTCCCTGCCTGCATCCCTGCTCTGTCTCCATTCCTGGTACCTTAACCCAGGGATCCTGGGCTGCCTGCTCTGCGGGTACCCCAGCCTGAGGCTCCCTGGGTACCTCATTCCTGGGGATGCAGGGGATGCTGTGATGCCTGATTTTAGGGGTTCCCCATCCCAGGGATTTTGGGTACCACGTTCCAGCAATCCCGGGGTTACCAGGTCCCAGGGATCCAGGGGTACACTATCCCAGGGATGATGGGTGTAATGTGCCAGCAATCCCGGGTACTGCATCCTAGGGTGCCCCATCCTGGGGCTTTGGGGGTGCCTGCCAGCACAGCCTGGCACCTGCGGATACCACACATCGATCTTGGGGTGCCTCCAGCTCCAGACCCCATGGATTGCTGTATCCCAGCCTGTGCCAGCCCCAGTGTGCCGTTCCGTGCCGTGCCAGGCCCAGCTCAGCCACGCAGCAGCTCCATTACCCACAGCTCGCGCATCCCAAGGGGTTTCTGCCTCCCCCAGTCCGGCTCCACAGCGGAAATCAGTGGGATATTTCAGGAAAAACCCTTTCCATGGAGAACCCCTTGGGATGAGGCGGCTCCTCCCTGTGATGCCCCATTCCCACTGCATCCCTGCTCCCCATCCCTGCCTTTGATGCCCCATTCCCTCTGCCCTCCTGCTCCCCATCCCTGCCTGCGATGCCCCATTCCCACTGCGTCCCTGCTCCCCATCCCTGCCTTTGATTCCCCATTCCCACTCCCCTCCTGCTCCCCATCCCTGCCTGCGATGCCCCATTCCCTCTGCTCTCCTGCTCCCCATCCCTGCCTTTGATGCCCCATTCCCTCTGCCCTCCTGCTCCCCATCCCTGCCTGTGATGCCCCATTCCCTCTGCCCTCCTGCTCCCCATCCCTGCCTTTGATGCCCCATTCCCTCTGCCCTCCTGCTCCCCATCCCTGCCTTTGATGCCCCATTCCCTCTGCCCTTCTCCCCATCCCTGCCTTTGATGCCCCATTCCCTCTGCTCTCCTGCTCCCCATCCCTGCCTTTGGTGCCCCGTTCCTGCTGCCCTCCTGCTCCCCATCCCTGCCTTTGATGCCCCATTCCCTCTGCTCTCCTGCTCCCCATCCCTGCCTGTGATGCCCCATTCCCTCTGCCCTCCTGCTCCCCATCCCTGCCTGTGATGTCCCGTTCCTGATGCCCTCCTGCTCCCCATCCCTGCCTTTGATGCCCCATTCCCACTGCGTCCCTGCTCCCATCCCTGCCTGTGATGCCCCATTCCCACTGCGTCCCTGCTCCCCATCCCTGCCTGTGATGCCCCATTCCCTCTGCCCTCCTGCTCCCCATCCCTGCCTTTGATGCCCCATTCCCTCTGCCCTCCTGCTCCCCATCCCTGCCTTTGATGCCCCATTCCCTCTGCCCTCCTGCTCCCCATCCCTGCCTTTGATGCCCCATTCCCTCTGCTCTCCTGCTCCCCATCCCTGCCTTTGATGCCCCATTCCCTCTGCCCTCCTGCTCCCCATCCCTGCCTGTGATGCCCCGTTCCCTCTGCCCTCCTGCTCCCCATCCCTGCCTTTGATGCCCCATTCCCTCTGCCCTCCTGCTCCCCATCCCTGCCTTTGATGCCCCATTCCTGCTGCCCTCCTGTCCCCATCCCTGCCTGTGATGCCCCATTCCCTCTGCCCTCCTGCTCCCCATCCCTGCCTGTGATGCCCCATTCCCTCTGCCCTCCTGCTCCCCATCCCTGCCTTTGATGCCCCATTCCCTCTGCCCTCCTGCTCCCCATCCCTGCCTTTGATGCCCCATTCCCTCTGCCCTCCTGCTCCCCATCCCTGCCTTTGATGCCCCATTCCCACTGCGTCCCTGCTCCCCATCCCTGCCTGTGATGCCCCATTCCCTCTGCCCTCCTGCTCCCCATCCCTGCCTTTGATGCCCCATTCCCTCTGCCCTCCTGCTCCCCATCCCTGCCTGTGATGCCCCATTCCCTCTGCCCTCCTGCTCCCCATCCCTGCCTGTGATGCCCCATTCCCTCTGCTCTCCTGCTCCCCATCCCTGCCTGTGATGCCCCATTCCCTCTGCCCTCCTCCTCCCCATCCCTTCCCCGGCCCCCCCCCGCCGCTCTGTCCCGCTCGATCCGCCCTGGCCCCGTGATGTGGCCCCGGGATCGATGCCTCCCGCAAGCCCCAGCAGAGCTCTCCCATGGGAGCGGGGCCATGACCGAGCACCGGGCGTGCAGCGCTCCCCGCGCCCTGGCTCAGCGCCCTCCTCCGCCCGCAGCGCTGCAGACGCGCTTCGTGGAGGAGCCCGAGGACCAGACCGTGGTGGCCGGGCACAGAATCGTCCTCTCCTGCGTGGTGCTCAACTACTCCGGCATCGTGCAATGGACCAAGGACGGCCTCGCCCTGGGCATGGGCCAGGGGCTCAAAGGTACCCGCGGGGTTTAAGGGGCTGGCACCGCAGGGGAGCTCTCACTGAGCGCTGCATCTCCTGCAGAGCCTGCTCCCAGCTCCCCGTGCACTGATCCCGGCTGCGGAGGGGCTCGAGGCACGGGCCCCAGCAGCGAAGCATGGGGTAGGGATGGGTGCCTGTGCTCTGCTGCTTCCTTCCTGCACACACTGCTTGTTCCTGCGGCCCCTGCATGCACTGGGGTCCCTGCACCAACTGGGGTCCCTGCACACATTGGGGTCCCTGCACGCAATGGGGTCCCTTCAAGCACTGGGGTCCCTACACGCACTGGGGTCCCTTCATGCACTGGGGTCCCTACACGCACTGGGATCCCTGCACACATTGGGGTCCCTGCACGCATTGGGGTCCCTGCACGCACGGGGGTCCCTTCATGCATTGGGGTCCCTTCATGCACTGGGGTCCCTACATGCACTGGGATCCCTGCACGCACTGGGGTCCCTGCACGCACTGGGGTCCCTGCACGCACTGGGGTCCCTGCACGCACTGGGGTCCCTGCACGCACTGGGGTCCCTTCATGCACTGGCGTCTCTGCACGCATTGGGGTCCCTGCAAGCACTGGGGTCCCTGCACGCACTGGGGTCCCTGCACGCACTGGGGTCCCTGCACGCATTGGGATCTCTGCACAAACTGGGGTCTCTGCACAAACTGGGGTTTCTGCACTCCCTGCATGCACTGGGATCCCTGCATGCAATGGGTCCCTGCACGCAATGGGTCCCTGCACACACTGGGGTCTCTTCACTCACTGAGGTCCCTGCACACACTGGGGTCCCTGCACGCACTGGGGTCCCTGCACGCACTGGGGTCCCTTCATGCACTGGGGTCTCTGCACGCACTGGGGTCCCTTCATGCACTGGGGTCTCTGCACGCATTGGGGTCTCTGCACACACTGGGGTCCCTGCACGCACATTGGGGTCTCTGCACACACTGGGGTCCCTGCACGCACACTGGGGTCTCTGCATGCACTGGGGTCCCTGCACGCATTGGGGTCCCTGCATACACTGGGGTCCCTTCATGCACTGGATCCCTGCACGCACATTGGGGTCCCTTCATGCACTGGGGTCCCTGCACGCACTGGGCTCCCTGCACGCACTGGGGTCCCTGCGGGCACTGAGCACCCCCCATCCACCAGGCCCCCCACATCCCCACCGGCTGCCCCCGTCCCCCCGGGGCTGTCCCTGGGTGCAGGCAGCCCCTGGCTCCCCGTGAGCAGAGGCTGGGGAGGGGCTGACCCCGCTCCCGGTGCTGCCCGCAGCCTGGCCCCGGTACCGCATCGTGGGCACGGCGGACTCGGGCCAGTACAACCTGGAGATCAGCGAGGCCGAGCTCTCCGATGATGCCGTGTACGAGTGCCAGGCCACCGAGGCCGCGCTGCGCTCCCGCCGCGCCAAGCTCACCGTGCTCAGTGAGTGAGGGCCCCAGCCGGGGCAGCGCCGCACCCCCTGGCCCCGCTGTACCCCGTGTCCGTGCCTCGTGTCCACTGGGCCCCGTGTGCCCCCTTAACCCATGTCCATGCCTCGTGTCCACTCTGCCCCATGTGCCCCCTTAACCCGTGTGCCCCATTCTACCCCCTGGCCCTGCTGTACCCCGTGTCCGTGCCTCGTGTCCACTGTACCCCATGTCCCCCCTTAACCCATGTGCCCCTTAACCCATGTGCCCCATTCTACCCCATGTCCCCCCATGTCCACACCATACCCCATGTCCATGCCTCGTGTCCACTGTACCCCATAACCCATGTGCCCCATTCTAATCCATGTCCCCCCATACCCCATGTCCATGCCTCGTGTCCACTGTGCCCCATGTCCCCCCTTAACCCATGTGCCCCATTCTACCCCATGTCCCCCCATACCCCATGTCCATGCCTCGTGTCCACTGTACCCCATGTCCCCCCATACCCCATGTCCATGCCTCGTGTCCACTGTGCCCCATGTGCCCCCTTAACCCATGTGCCCCATTCTACCCCATGTCCCCCCATATCCCATGTCCATGCCTCATGTCCACTGTGCCCCATGTGCCCCCTTAACCCATGTGCCCCATTCTACCCCATGTCCCCCCATATCCCATGTCCATGCCTCGTGTCCACTGTGTCCCCCATGTGCCCCATTCTACCCCATGTCCCCCCATGTCCACACCATACCCCATGTCCATGCCTCGTGTCCACTGTACCCCATGTCCCGCCTTAACCCATGTGCCCCATTCTACCCCATGTCCCCCCATACCCCATATCCACACCATACCTTGTCTCCCACTGCATTCCATGTCCCCAACTGTACCCCATGTCTCCCACCATACCCCATGACCCCCATAACCCCATGTCCACACCATACCCTATGTCCCCCACTGTGCTCTATGTATCCTCCATACCCCATGTCCCCCACCATACCCCAGGTCCCTCCTGTACCCCTTGTAGCCCATGTCCCCCATTGTACCCCATGTTCCTACTATACCTCATGTTCCCACCATACCCTGTGACCCCCACCATATCCCATGTCCCCCATTGTACCCCATGTTCCTACTATACCTCATGTTCCCACCATACCCTGTGACCCCCACCATATCCCATGTCCCCCATTCTACCCCATGTCCCCCATTGTACCCCATGACCCCCACCATACCCCATGTCCCCCATTCTACCCCATTTCCTCCATTCTACCCCATGTCCCCCATTGTACCCCATGTCCCCACCATACTCTGTGACCCCCACCATACCCCATATCCCCCATTCTACCCCATTTCCCCCATTCTACCCCATGTCCCCCATTGTACCCCATGTCCCCCATTGTACCCTGTGACCCCCACCATACCCCATGTCCCCCATTCTACCCCATTTCCCCCATTCTACCCCATGTCCCCCATTGTACCCCATGTTCCTACTATACCTCATGTCCCCACCATACCCCAAGAACCCCACCATACCCCATATCCCCCATTCTACCCCATGTCCCCACCATACCCCATGACCCCCCCCATGTCCCATGTCCCCCCTTCTACCCCATTTCCCCCCATTCTACCCCATGACCCCCATTGTACCCCATGTCCCCACCATACCCCATGTGCCCCCCATGTCCCACATCCCCCCATGTCCCCCCCCGTGTCCCAGGGCCATGCAGGCAGCATCATGGGAAGCGCTGGCTCTGCCTGTGCCTCCCCTTCCCTCCCAGCCTCGGGCGCTGTTCCCTTTAACGCCTCCCTCCCTATTCTCGCCTATGGGCTCCGGCACCGCGGGCAGGAACTGGGGTTTCCCAACTTTTGGAGCTTGGGAAAAGGGAGGAAAAGGGAGGAAAATGCCGGAGCTGCGGCAGAAACACTGCAGGAATGGGGGGGAGGGGGGGGTTCTTTCCTTCCTCCTTCCTGTCTCCATCCTCCTTCCCTGGGCATCCCATCATGGGAGCACCAGGCTGGAGAAGAGCTTTAGGCTCATCCAGTCCAACCTCTCCCCCCCACCACACATGGAGGAGGTTCCTGCGGGTGCTGGGGTCCCTGTCACAAGGACACCCCATCCCTGCCCCCCCCATTCCCACCCTGTCCCCTGTGTCCTCCCTCCCCAGTCCCCCCTGAGGACCCCACCATCGATGGAGCCCCCGAGATCCTGCTCCGTGCGGGGACCCCCTACAACCTGACGTGCCGGGCCCGCAGCGCCAAGCCGGCGGCCACCATCGTCTGGTACCGCGATGGGCTCCAGCAGGATGGAGCCATCACCAGCACGGTACCGCACCCCCCATCCATCCCTCAGCACCGCCCCACGGCCCCAGTGCCGTGCTGGGGGTCCTGGGACCACCCCATCTCCTTGCAGGAGGTGCTGCCCGATGGCAAGAGGGAGACAACCACGAGCCAATTGGCCATCAACCCGACGGACCTGGACATCGGGAGGGTGTTCTCCTGCCGCAGCACCAACGAAGCCATCCCGGCGGGCAAGGAGACCTTCGTCAAGCTCAATGTTCACCGTGAGTCCATGCCGGGAGGGGCGGGATGGTTCCTGGTGCTGCTGGTGGCACTGGGGGCGCTGGAGATGAGCTCTGGGGGGGGTTGGGGGTGTGTGGATATCCCAGCCCCAGCGGTGAAGCTGGGTTCCTGCACAGGGGTTGTGTCCATTGGGATGTGCTCATCCGGTTGGTGGCTGGGGTGGGACTCGGTGGAGAACACCGACCCCCAGTGGCTGCTGCGGGAAGGTTCTGCACCCACGGCCAGCACCCGTGATGGGCAGGGATGCTGGGTGCCCACCGCCAGCATCAACAATGGGCAGGGATGCTGGGTGCCCACCACCAGCATCATCAATGGGCAGGGATGGTGGGTACCCACCGCCAGCACCAACAATGGGCAGGGATGCTGGTACCTACCACCAGCACCAACAATGGGCAGGGATGGTGATACCCACCGCCAGCATTATCAATGGGCAGGGATGCTGGATGCCCACCACCAGTACCAACAATGGGCAGGGATGCTGGGTGCCCACCACCAGTACCAACAATGGGCAGGGATGCTGGTACCCACCGCCAGCATCTGTGATGGGCAGGGATGCTGAGTGCCCACCACCAGCATCAACAATGGGCAGGGATGCTGGTACCCACCACCAGCACCCATGATGGGCAGGGATGCTGGGTGCCCACCACCAGCACCCACAGCAGGCAGGGATGCTGGGTGCCCACCACCAGCATCATCAATGGGCAGGGATGCTGGGTGCTCACTACCAGCACCCACAGCAGGCAGGTACGCTGGGTACCCACTGCCAGCACCAACAATGGGCAGGGATGCTGGGTGCCCACACAAAGCTTTTGGCATCTCCTGCTCAGCATGGAGAAGAAGCAATGCAGCACTGGGAGGGGGACTGTCCCTTTGTCCCCTGTCCCTGGGCCACGCTGAGCCCGTACCTCTCCATCCACCCTCCCCACAGACCCCCCGACCGTCACCCTGTCCATCCAGCCCCAGACGGTGCAGGAGGGCGAGAGGGTCGTGTTCACCTGCATGGCCACCGCCAACCCCGAGATCAGAGGCTACAGGTGAGGCTCCGTCCCCAACCTCCTGCTTGGCCGCAGCATCCCATGGGAATGGCAGGGATGCTGGGACGCTCCCACCTCGGGTGTCTGCCCCCATGTAGGTGGGCCAAAGGGGGGGTGATCATCGAGGACGCCAAGGAGAACAGGTACGACACGCAGGTGGACTACACCTTCTTCACGGAGCCCGTCTCCTGCGAGGTGCACAATGACATCGGCAGCACCAACGTCAGCACATTGGTGGACGTGCACTGTGAGTGGGGCAGCCCCACACCCCCGGCACCCCCTGGCTCCCGGCACCCCCCTCTCACCCTGTCCCCACCTCTCCAGTTGCGCCTCGGATCGTGGTGGACCCCAAACCCACCGTCACGGACATCGGCTCCGACGTGACGCTGACGTGCGTGTGGTCCGGCAACCCGCCACTCACCCTCACCTGGACCAAGAAGGAGTCCAACATGGTAGGGGCTGGTGGGTGAGATGGGATGGGGGGCTTAGGGGGTGCCCCATGCCCTCTCCTTGATGGTGTTTGCACCCAGGTCCTGAGCAACAGCAACCAGCTGTACCTCAAGTCCGTCACCCAAGCCGATGCGGGGCAGTACATCTGCAAAGCCATCGTGCCCCGCATCGGCGTTGGCGAGCGCGAGGTCACCCTCTACGTCAACGGTGAGTGCGTCCCCCCCGCCAGACCCTGGCCTGCAGTGGGTGCTGAGCAGTGCCTGGGGTCCAGGTCAAGCCCCCCCTTTGTGTCCCATAGGACCCCCCATCATCTCGAGCGAGGCGGTGCAGTACGCGGTGCGCGGGGACCGTGGCAAGGTGGAATGCTTCATCGGGAGCACACCGCCACCGGACCGCATCGTGAGTGCTCTGCTGGGGACATGGGGGTGCTGGGGGGGACCCTGAGCTGCAGGTGCTGATGCAAACCCCTCTTCCCACCCCGTCGTGGCCAGGCGTGGGCCTGGAAGGAGAACATCCTGGAGGCAGGGACGCTGGAGCGGTACACGGTGGAGAGGACCAACACGGGCAGCGGGGTCCTCTCCACCCTCACCATCAACAACGTCATGGACGCAGACTTCCAGACCCGCTACAACTGCACGGCCTGGAACAGCTTCGGGCCGGGAACAGCCATCATCCAACTGGAGGAGAAAGGTAGGAGCGGGATGGTACCGCGGGATGCAGGGATGCTGGCGAGCCTGGCTCCGGCTTGGGTGTTGAAGGCAATGGAGCCATTGTGCCACGGCCACCTCCTGGCAGTGCCCCTGTCCCATTGTCCCCAGCTAATGTCTCCCCATGTCCTGTAGAGGTTTTGCCCGTGGGCATCATTGCCGGGGCCACCATCGGGGCCAGCATCCTCGTCATCAGCTTCCTCGTGGCGCTCGCCTGCTTCCTCTACCGGCGCCGGAAAGGAAGTGAGTGGTGGGCACGGGGGGGGTCTGCACTCATTGCAGTGGATGCCACCCATGGGGACAGGGTGGGAGGAAGCTGCCGGTGGCCGTGCCCATCCATGCCCGGTCCCGCGTGTCCCCAGGCCGCAAGGACGTCACCCTGCGCAAGTTGGACATCAAGGTGGAGACGGTGAATAGGGAGCCCCTGACGCTGCACACGGACCGGGAGGAGGACACGGCCAGCGTGTCCACGGCCACCCGTGTCATGAAGGCCATCTACTCGGTAAGGGACACCCCGCAGCCTCCTCCCTGCCCTGGGATAGATGGGACCAAGGATGTCAGAGAGGGGCCTTCATCAGTGATATCTTCATCAGCCCATCAGGACTGGAGCGATAGGACAAGGGGTGATGGGTTCAGACTAAAACAAGGGGGATTTAGGTTGGATGTAGGGAAGTTCTTCCCTGTGAGGGTGGTGGGGAACTGGAATGGGTTGAATGGAGAAGGTGTGGTTGCCCCATCCCTGGCAGTGCTCCAGGCCAGGTTGGACACAGCGGCTTGGAGCATCCTGCTCCAGTGGATGATATCCCGGGTTGGAAGTGGATGAGCTTTAAGCTCCCTTCAACCCAACCCATCCTATTGAGGACCAACCTCATCCCTTTCCCCCTCTCCCACAGTCATTCAAGGACGACGTGGACCTGAAGCAGGACCTGCGCTGCGACACCATCGACACCCGCGAGGAGTACGAGCTCAAGGTCTGGTGCCGGGGCAGGGTCCGTGGGGGGGACCCCCTCACCCTCCCGTTCATCCCCCCCATCACCCCCTTTCCCCCCCCCTCCCTCCACCAGGACCCCACCAACGGCTACTACAACGTGCGCGCTCACGAGGACCGCCCGTCCTCCCGCTCCGTGCTCTACGCCGATTACCGGGCACCGGGCGCCGGGCGCTTCGACACGCGCCCGCCCTCGCGCCTCTCGCACTCCAGCGGCTACGCTCAGCTCAGCACCTACAGCCGCGGCCCCACCGCCGCCGCTGAATACACCCCGGAGCCCGCCCCGGCGCCTGGCCCCGCACCGGGCGCTGACACCGCGAGCCAGCTCTCCTATGAGAACTACGGTGGCCACGCGGCGTTCCCCACCGGTGCTGGGTACCCCACGTACCGGCTGGGCTACGGGCAGCCCCCCAGCATGGAGCGGGCGCCCTACGACGCCTACGACCCCATGGGCAAGTACAGCAGCGCCACGCGCTTCTCCTACACCTCCCAGCACTCGGACTACGGGCAGCGCTTCCAGCAGCGGATGCAGACGCACGTCTGAGGGCGCGCAGGGGATGGGAGGCACAGGCACAAAAAGGGGGGGGTCCCACAGGTACCTCACGACTGTCCCCTGATATTCAGGGGCTCATCCTGACCCTCCTGCGGCTCCTCCGCCGGTGGCTGGGCTCCAAGCATCGCCCTGCCCCTGGGGATGCGCCCTGGGCACTCTGAGCTTCCACTCAAGCCGGTTCTTTCTGTTTGGTACCTTCCCAATGGAGGGAGAGGGTTGGGGGGCACCAACCCCGCTGATCCCGCTCCCCCCCCTCCAGCCTCAGTGGGTGCGTGCGGGTCCACGCGGGTCCCCCCCGGATCCCTTCCAAAGCTCTGTGGGGCTGGAGCCTTCCTCCATGGGTCCCCTGATCCAGCTCCTCTGCAGGAGCGAGGGGCTGCACATCACATCCCCATCCATCCCATTCCATCACATCCCCATCCATCCCATTCCATCCCATCCCATCCATCCCATCCCATCCCATCCCTGCGAGGGAGCTGCTATATGTGTGTGCGCACGTGGCTGTAGGTACAGACATATAGGCAACACCAAAAAAAGCCCCATCCCAGCCCATTCCCATTCCCTGTGCCTTGATTTTGGGGACAGCCCGCACCCAGGGCCAGCTTCCCCTTTCCCATCCATCCCACTTCCAGCCCCGCGCTCCCATCAGGGGTCCTGGGGTGCTGCAGACCCCCATTGTCTGCACGCTCAGAGCTGGGCATGGGCAGTGGTTCCAGGTTCTGCCGCGCTGGTGTCACCCCAAACTCACCCCAAGAGCACCCCATTGGTCCCACTGGTGTGGGGTTGGGGGGGTCCCTCTTCTGAATGTATATAAAGGTGTAAAGGGGGCCAAGCCTGGTGGGAGCAAGGAGGCACCACGATGACGGGGACCCCAATAACCCACTGTGAGCTGGGGGTGCGATGACCTTTGGAGGAAGGCTGGAGGCACGGGATGGGTTTTTGGGATGGGGACCCCCCCCCCCCCGGGTTAGGTACGAGCTCTGTCCCCATCTGCATCATGGGGATGCGCATCATGGTCCCCATCCCACTGCGCACCCCTGGATCCAGGTACGATTCCAAGGGGCTGCAGGGAGGGTTGGGGGGGGGGGGCAGATCCAGCACATCTTGGGGGTCCCCTGCACCCCTCTTCTCCTCCTCACCCCCCCACAAGGTACTGTCAGCACAGACCAAGCCCTGAGCCTCCAACTGCAGGACCACGTGCCATTTCTTGCAATGGTGCCTGATTTACCCCCCCTCAACACCCCCAAACCCTCCCCTGCGTCCCCAGGGGGGGGACAGCCCCGTTTTGGGGTGCTGCACCCCCTCACCGATAGCAATACCCCCGCAGCAGCACGGGACCAGCCACCCCGGGCGCCGCACCGAGAAGCTGAAGCTTTAAATCCAACCTCCCCCGGGGTGGGGAAGGGACCCCCCCCCCCCGGCCATGGGAGCCCCCCAAAGCTCCGGGTGAGGGGCCCCTTCCTTAGCACAGGCTGGTTTAGACCCCAGAGACACGTATCTGTGAGCCCCCCCTCCCCAAAACCGCCCCGTTTTTTATGTTTCCTTTTCCTTTCCTTTTGTTTTTAAATATTCTGTACTATATTTTTAGTCTTAAACACGATATATTATATATATTTAATTTTTTTATATATATATATAAATATAAATGGTCCAAAAAGGGTGTTTGTGGGTGGCTTTTGTCCTACGGGAGCAGCGCGATGGGGTGGGTGGCATTGGCACGACAGTGCTCCAATGGTGGCACTGGGGATGTGGAAGTTCCCAGTCCAAAGCACTGGCTTTTCCCACTGCTCTCCCATTGAGTTTTCAAAGCCTCCTCTTGCTGAGGGATGCTCCTCAACCTAAAGTAACCCTATAGAACCTGCAACCACTTGAAGGGTGGTTTCAGAGACAGCATCATGGAATGGGTTGGAAAGGACCTTGAGCTCACCCAGTCCCAACCCCTGCCATGTGCAGGGATCCCTTCCACTGGAGCAGCTTGCTCCAAGCCCCATGAACACCGCTAAGGATGGGGCAGCCCCAGCTTCTCCGTTCAACCCATTCCAGTGTCCCAGCAGCCTCACAGGGAAAAGCTTCCGTCTCCAACCGCATCCCAATCCCCGTTCCCACCCCATCCCAGCAGCCCAGGGTGCAGCCAGCCTCTTTCCAAGCTATTTCTCCAATGCCAGGATGGGCCCGGAGCTGCCCCAGCTCCTCCTGGGTGTGTTTGATCCTTAATCCCTGCTTTCCCTGCACCCAGCCTCACTGAACGGCTCCGCTTCCCATTCCTTGCTGTGTTTCCACGCCTGGTTTATTATGAACCACACAATGTCCCCGCTGCTCCCAGGACCCATCTCGGAAACCAGTTTGTCATTCCTGATGGCTTCTGCTGGAGCGGGGAGCAGCAGGGCTGATGGAAGCACTGGGACACGGATGGATGGGCATGGAGGAGAGGAGAACATCCCATCCCTGTGTGAACCGAGGCCGGAGCCCCAGAGACATCCCAAATCCAAGCCCTGGAGGTGGCTCCTTGCTCAAGAAGCTGCCTCTATTCCCCAGGATAACGCCCCCTCCTCACCACCGCCTCGCTCATCCCGATGGATTCCAAGCTATTCCCCAGCCTCCTTCTCTTCCTCCCTTGTTCTTCCTCCCACTTCCGTTCCCTCCTTGGGAGCGAGTGGGATTTAGGGTGAGCTGCAGGATCTGCTCCTGCTTCCATCCCCATGTGCCTGTTCCCACCTCGATGGGGCTGGTGAACCCTCTGCCCTCATCCCCATGGGGTCAGGGGGCAGGATTCCACCAGAGATAACACATTCCTGCCCTCAGGAAAACCCATCCCAGAGCAGCAACGCTGTGAGGCAGGGAGAGGAACTCGGTCCCACAGCCTGGAGCTTGGGTGGAGACAGCCCCAGAGAGCTCAACAGCAATCATGGAGCTACAGCAGCCCCATAGAGCTCAACGGACCCATGGAGCTCCAACAGCCCCCATGGAGCTCCAACAGCCCCATGGAGCTCAACAGCCCCATAGAGCTCAACAGCCCCATGGAGCTCCAACAGCCCCCATGGAGCTTCAACAGCCCCAGAGAGCTCCACTAGCCCCCATGGATCTCCAACAGCCCCCATGGAGCTCCAACAGCCCCCATCGAGCTCAACAGCCCCCATGGATCTGCAACAGCCCCCATGGAGCTCCAACAGCCCCCATGGAGCTCCAACAGCCCCATAGAGCTCAACGGCCCCATGGAGCTCCAACAGCCCCCCTAGAGCTCCAACAGCCCCCATGGAGCTCCAACAGCCCCATAGAGCTCAACGGCCCCATGGAGCTCCAACAGCCCCATGGATCTCCAACAGCCCCATGGAGCTCAACAGCCCCATAGAGCTCAACAGCCCCATGGATCTCCAACAGCCCCATGGAGCTCAACAGCCCCATAGAGCTCAACGGCCCCATGGAGCTCCAACAGCCCCATGGATCTCCAACAGCCCCATGGAGCTCAACAGCCCCATAGAGCTCAACAGCCCCATGGAGCTCCAACAGCCCCATGGAGCTCAACAGCCCCCATGGATCTCCAACAACAGCCACTGTGGAGCTCAACAGCCCCCATAGAGCTCCAACAGCCCCATAGAGCTCCAACAGCCACCAGCCCTGGCTGTGCTCAAGGCCAGGTTGGATGGGGCTTGGAACGGGTCCCTGCCCGTGGCTTTAAACGAGTTTTCAGGTCCCTTCATCCCAAACCATTCCATGGCGCTAGGAGGATGGAGACCCCGACCCCATCTTCATCCTTCATCCCCATCCCCATCCCCATCTTCATCCTTCATCCCCATCTTCATCCTTCATCCCCATCTTCATCCTTCATCCTTCATACTTCATCCTTCACCCCCATCCCCATCCCCATCCCCATCCCCACCCCCATCCCCATCCCCATCCCCATCCCCATCCCCATCCCCATCCCCATCCCCATCCCCATCCCCATCCCCATCCCCACCCCCATCCCCACCCCCATCCCCACCCCCACCCCCACCCGCAGCCGCGCCCCACCAATGGGCTATTTATAGCCTCGGCAATCTCGCGAGATTTGACAGACGAGACCAAGGCGTGGGGCGGGGCTTTTGCGTCATAACGCTGCGTCAGAGGGCGGCCGGGCCCTGAGGCGCTGAGCGCGGCCTGGGCTCGGGACGGGGTTGGGCCTCCGGTATCGGCCCGATCGCGGGGCCACCCGCAGTAGCCGGGCCCGTGCCGTGGAGGGGAGGGGGTTTGCGGGGCGTTTCGGGCTCTCCCGGGAGCGTTGCCGGTTCCCGCAGTGCGGCCCCGTCCCTGTCGGCCATGGCGGGCGGTGAAGCGCCGCGTTCCGCTGCGGCCCCTGCGCAGGCTCCGCAGTGGCGGCCTGTGCGGTGTGAGCGGAGAGCCCGGGCTGCAGGGCCAGGGCAAGGGGAATGGCTTGAACCTGCCCGAGGGGAGACTGAGCTGAGCTCTTAGGCAGAAGCTCTTCCCTGTGAGGGTGCTGAGGCGCTGGCACAGGGTGCCCAGAGAAGCTGTGGCTGCCCCATCCCTGGCAGTGCTCAAGGCCAGGTTGGACACAGGGGCTTGGAGCATCCTGCTCCAGTGGAAGGGGTCCCTGCCATGGCTGCAGATGAGCTTTAAGGTCCCTTCATCCCAAACCATTCCATGGTTTATGACTAGAGCAGGACAACAGTGGGGTTGGTGCAGGATCAACCTCTCCGTCCCCACTGTGTGCTCGCAGAGGCGGGCTGGAGGCGAGAGCAGCTCTTCCATCGCTGTGGCTGCTTTTTAGGCCTGGGAACAGATTGTCTGTCCCGGTCCCTTCATTCTGTGTGCAAGGGGATGAGCTCAGGTCCCACTAAGCTGAGCTCTCCGTGGATGCTGTGGGTTCCGGTGGTTTCCTGCCTGTCACCAAGCCCCCGCGCTCCCCCCAAGCACCCGAGGCTGGGGAGCACGTAGGCAACTCCAGCTCTGAGCTTCCCGGCCTCTCTCCTCCCTTTGCAGACCCCAAAATCAGGAGCTGGATGCATCCAAAGAGCCCTGCGTGGGGCCACCTCGTATGAGTGCCACACAGAGCGGGACCAGAGGCACCATGGCCTGGATGAGGGAATGGGGGTGCCAGGGTGCATCCCCTCTGTAGAGGGATCAGAGGAGAGGGTGAGGGTCTTTTGGGGGCCTCCCTGTATCTCCAGGCACCCACAAGGTGCCTCATGCCCTGCAAAGGCAGGACACGGTGATGGCTCAGCTCTCCATTCCCACCTTCACCAACGCTCTCCGCTTTGCGCTGCTGCTCCCTGTGCTCTGGGGACATCCCTCGCTGCCCCATGCCAAGACCCACATCCCATAGCGGATGCAGCTCATGTGCCAGTGGGAACAACGACCTCGGGACTGATCCTGGCTGCGATGGACACCCCGAATCCCTGCAGAGGATCGAGCCCGTGGCATTTCCCAGTGTGATGGGGCCCCATCTCCTCATGGATGCCCCCCACAGCTCCCAGCCGCGCTGTTCTCCTCCTCCTCCTCCGCTCCCAGCATCAGCTGCTTTTCCCTGGAAACTGGAACTTCCAACTCAGCGGCTTTCATTCCCCTTCAGCCCTCCAGAGAGGCAGCGGGTCCTGCCCCTGCTCAGCTGCCTGCACCCCTTGGGGGGACCCCGATGGAGTCGATCACCCCTTGGGTGCGGGTTAATGCTTGTGCTCGTAGTAGGTGGCAAACCCCATCCCCACCGCGCTGCGGAAGCTGCTTCCCCTCATCCCTGTTTTCCACTTGGAGCTGCGGGAGGGATGAAACAAGAAAGAAGCTTTTTGTGCTGCTCATGGGAAGTTTCCTTCCAGTCCCAGCCCCCGCAGCAGCGCAGGGCTCTGCAATCCCGGCTGGGAGAGCTCGGGGAGGGAGCTCAGAGGGTCCATTTCTGCCTCCACAGCCCCTCCACAGCTCCTATTCCTAAGGGGTTTCCTCTGGGATTCAGCCAAGACCTCGCATCATTCCAGGACATCCCTTCCCGAGCAGTTTTCTGCACCCAAAGGTGCTCGGGTACCTCCTGTTGGGAGTGGGACCGCCCCCAGCCCCAGGATGCTCCCGCTGCCTGCGATTCCCAAGGGAAAACGCTCTTAACTTTGGGAAGCCCCTTTCCAACGAGCTCCCCAGGGCCGGCGGGTGACCTGGCAGGGCTGTGCCGTTAATCCGGGTACTGAACCGGGATAAATGAGGGGGGTCACCGGCAGCCCCCGCTGAGCATCCTCATCAGTGCGGATGCCACCCCCGGCCACTTAATTACGGCGAGCTAATTATTAATTAGCCGGCTGTGCCCCGCGATGCGCTTGGGCTTCCTACGGGTTGTAGCGGCTTTGCTCCTCCCCGTCTCTGCTTCTGCCTCTGCCGACGGAGCCGCACCGGGAGCCGAGGAGGAGGAGGAGGAATGGAGCGGGAATTGGCCCGGAGCAAAGCGCGGCTGCCCTCGCTGCTCCTGGCGCTGCTCGGCCTCGGGCCAGGTGAGTGCGGGGCTTGGTGGGCACCGCGTCCTCATCCCATGGCAGCAGCTGCGGACCTCATCCTGCTGCTCCCCGCCGCTGCCGCCCATCCCAGCACCCGGATGGTTCCTGGAATGCGGGTCCAGCTTTAACGGAGCGAGCGGCCGCGGACCCCAGCCGGCTCCATCCCCCCGGCTCCATCCCCTCACCCCTAACGTGGCTTCAAGCCATGGGGCCGCTGTCACCCCACAGAGCCCTTTAACCCCCGCAGGGCCGTGTCTCCTCCTCCTTACATAAAGCAGGAGCGAGGAATCCCCTTAATTCCCAGCGTGCTAATCCACACTTTTAATAATTCCCATAAAACCTCTGATTCCTACAGAAAGCATCTAATACTGCGGGCAGATTAGCGCAGGGGGGTTTATCTGCCTAGCGAGTAATTAGCTTGAGGAGCAAGACGAGCTGTCAGCAGCCCTGGGGCGGGAGGGATGTGGCACAAGGTGCCAGCCCTGCGCTGCTGATCCCAAGCCTCTGACCCAGCTCCATGGGAAATGGGCCGTTAACGGCGCTTGGGAGTTTTCCAGCTGCTTTTGGGGATCCGGTTTATTGGCTATCAGCAGGGAGCGGGGGATGAGGACGAGCAAAACCTGAGGTCGTGGTGATGGACCCCGGGCTGGAATCAGTCACGTAGCCCTGGCTTTAAGGTTTAATGGAGACTGAGTTGGAGTAATCCGGGTGCTGAGCGCAGCGGGATGCAGCGAGGGGCTCACATCCCACCCGCCCGCCGGATGCTGGCACCGGGTCGGGCAATGGAGCCTCGGCTTCCCGTTATCCCGGGGTAAACAGGAGGCGAGAGGAGGATGCCCTGGCCCCGGGCAGCAATTCCCAGCCGGGATTTCCTCCAGCTGCTGCGTGTTCTGCTGCCTGTGCTCTGCTGCCTGTGCTCTGCTGCCTGTGCTCTGCCTGTGCTCTGCCTGTGCTCTGCTGCCTGTGCTCTGCCTGTGCTCTGCCTGTGCTCTGCTGCCTGTGCTCTGCCTGTGCTCTGCCTGTGCTCTGCCTGTGCTCTGCCTGTGCTCTGCTGCCTGTGCTCTGCCTGTGCTCTGCTGCCTGTGCTCTGCCTGTGCTCTGCTGCCTGTGCTCTGCCTGTGCTCTGCCCGTGCTCTGCCCGTGCTCTGCCTGTGCTCTGCCTGTGCTCTGCCTGTGCTCTGCTGCGTGTTCTGCTGCCTGTGTTCTGCTGTTCTGCTGTGTGCTCTGCCTGTGCTCTGCTGCGTGTTCTGCTGCCTGTGCTCTCCCTGTTTTCTCCCTGTTCTGCTGCCTGGATGAGCAGCCCCTGTTTAAACACGATGGGCAGCACTCCCAAGGGAGGCTGATGGATGGACAGACAGACAGACAGACAGGCAGGCAGCAGCACCTCCTGCCTTGGCACCGCTGCAGCGAGGGGTGGGCAAGCAAAGAGCATCTTCCATCAGAAGCCCAATGAGCTTCTGCAGCCCCCCCCCCCCAGCTCCCTTATGCCAATCCTGCCCCCTCCTGTTCCAACACAGACCCCAAACCTGATGCTTAGGACACCCAGTGTCCCCTTCGCCCCATTCCCACGCATGGGCTCAGCATCCTCCCTCCAGGCTTGGCCAGAGGCTTCCTGGGACCCCCAAAACTTTGTGATCACCCAGGGATGTGCCAGGGATTCGGTTGGGTTTAGGATTTGGCTGGAAGAAGCGGGATCGAGCCGGGGATAAGCGGGATCAGGACAACAAAAGCTCCAGGGATGTGGAGCGCTGCTTCTCCTAAAGCAAAGAGGCAGCTTGGAACATGCTGGGGGGGTTATACAAAGGCAACATTCAGAGTCTGAGTTTAATCTGCTTTCATATCCAGGCACATCTGCTTCAGCCTCCTGCGGGTGGGGAGGCGATGGGGGGTGAACGGGGGGGATGTGGGACCCCTAAACCTGGGTCCAGCGGGATGGGGGCAACACGGCTTGCCCTGACCTCATCATCCATCCTGATGGCTGGGCATCCGGGATGGGAAAGTGCGTATCCCATGGATGGGATACGGAGAGGGAGAAGAGGAGGATGTCATCCTGGCAGCAGAGGGGAGTGGGGGGCCGCGGGGGCCGGGGCCGGCAGAGGAGACAGCTTGTGGGTAGGTGGGAGCTGCAGGAGCGAGGGAGGTGATGCCGAGATGCTGCAGAGCTGAGGATGCTGCCAAAAACACCCCACGGTGGAGGCTCAGATGGGCTGAAACCCCCACGGCAATCATGGAACAGTTTGGGTGTGAAGGGACCTTAAAGCTCATCTGAAACCATGGCAGGGACCCCTTCCACTGGAGCAGGATGCTCCAAGCCCCTGTGTCCAACCTGGCCTTGAGCACTGCCAGGGATGGGGCAGCCACAGCTTCTCTGGGTACCTCAGCACCCTCATAGGGAAGAACTGCCTGAGACCACCCTGGTCCTGGCCCTCGGAGGTGGCTCCATCCCACCCAGGACCCCCAGAGCCCCCCATTGCTTTAACCGGTGTCGATCTTCCGCAGGGCTCGTGGCCGAGGCGCGCGTTAACACGGACAATGCGGGTTTGCTGCCTGGGAATTCCTCCCAGACCCTCTTGGAGCGTTGTTCTGGTGAGAGCCCGGCCGCAGCCGGGGCACGGACGGAGCCCCCACATCTGAACCTGTCGATGCTTCGTTCAGATGGAGCCCCCACATCTGAACCTGTAGATGCTTTGTATTCTTTAGTGAGCAGATCCAAGCCCAGCATCTTTCCTTCCCTGCTGGAACAGGAGGTGGCTCTGGCGGGATACAGGGGCTTTTGGGGGGGACATCAGTCCCCAGCACAGACTGGGACCGGCCGGCGGAGAGGAGACCAGGGCAGGGAGATGCTGCTTCACACCCTTGTAAAGAGACCCATCCCCAAGCGTGTTCCTGCTGTGTCCCCGCCTTGTCCCTGCTGTCCCTGTGCTGTCCCCATCACGTCCCCACGGTGACTTTGTGCCTCGTCCACAGAGCTCCTGTTTGGCCAAGCCCGGACCCAGCCCCGGCAGGTGAACGGTGTCCTGGGGGGGTCGGTGCTGCTCTCCCCGGCTCTGCCCCCCAACAGGACGGTGAAGGAGATCGAGTGGAGCTTCTCGGCCGGCACCGGGGCCACCATCCAAGTGGCAGAGCTGGGCCCCAGGGGCTTCGAGCGCCCAGACCCCAGGGACCGGTTCAAGGACCGGCTGGAGATGTTCAACCAGACGGGGCTGAGGATCGCGGCGCTGCAGCGCGGAGACAGCGGCGTCTATGGGGCCCGCATCAAGCTGCACCCGGCCATGGTGGAGGATCAGTTCTTCAACCTCTCCATCTACGGTGGGTGAGGGTGATGGTGAGGGGGCGGCGGAAGCAGAATGTCCTCAGTGTGAGCGCGAACAGGGTAACTGAGGCACGGGGCAACGATGGGGTACCCCAGCATCCCCAGCCTTTGCCTGCAGCACCTCGAGCTCACCACAAGGGTCTGTGCCCCATTGGGAGCACGGGGATGGGCGGGATGGGCAGTCCCCCACCTGATCCATCACTGGTACCCCGCACAGAGTCGGTGCCGAGCCCCCGCACCCGCAGCCAGCTCCTGGCCAGCACCTTGGAATGGTGCAACGTGACCCTGCAGTGCCAGGGCTCCGGGAAAGGCGCCGTGAACATCACTTGGAAGCAGGACAACGTCGAGTGGGAGCGGAGCTCGGAGCGGCACCAGCTCTCCCCGGACGGGACCACGCTGCGGCTGTGGCTGCCGCCCGCCGCCACCAACGGGACCTTGGCGTGCACCGTCAGCAACCCCGCGGACCGCAGGGTCGTGCTCTTCGACCTCGGTGCCATTTGCCAAGCGGGAGGTGAGCCCCGAGCCCCGCGGACCGGATGAGACCGGACCCGGTCCTCGCCATCCCCCCCCCCCCCCCGGTCCCCGTTCCCCCGAGCCGGGCTCAGCGCCGCTCTCTGCGCCCCGCAGGGGGGGAATCGGGCTTCTCCAAGTCGGGCTACATCGTCCTGACCCTCATCCTGCTGGCGCTGAGCATGGGGGGCGCCTTCTGGTGCTGGCGGGTTAACAGCGACAAGGCGGCAGAGCAGGGTGAGTGATGCCCCCCCCTCCCCAAAGCCGCGGGGGTGTTGGGGGTGATGCCCGTACCCCGTTATCCCGTATCCCGTTATCCCGTACCCCGTTATCCCGTATCCCGTTATCCCGTATCCTGCTCCCTGCAGCCGCCTCCCACACGGCGCCCGCGGAGGAGCCCCCCCCCGAGCCCCCCGGCACCGGGACCGAGCGCAGGAGCCCCCCGGAAGGTAATGACCAGGTGAGGCCCCGGGAGGGGCTGGGGGGGGGGCGGTACCGGGGCATGGGCAGGGCACAGCGGGGACATGGGGACAATGGGGACAAGGGGGATCCCAGCCACACTGGAGTCATGGAAACACACTGGGGGTTGTGGCCATACTGGGGTCCCAGTCACACCAGGTCATGGCCATACTGCGGGTGTCCCAGTCACACCAGTGTCATGGCCATACTGGGGTCCCAGTCACACCAGTGTCATGGCCATACTGGGGTCCCAGTCACACCAGTGTCATGGCCATACTGGGGTCCCAGTCACAGCAGGTCATGGCCATACTGGGGGTGACCCAGTCACACCAGGTCCTGGCCATACTGGGGTCCCAATCACACCAGTGTCATGGCCATACTGCGGTCCCAGTCACACCAGGTCGTGGCCATACTGGGGGTGTCCCAGTCACACCAGTGTCATGGCCATACTGGGGTTGCAGTCACACCAGTGTCATGGCCATACTGGGGGTGTCCCAGTCCCACCAGTGTCATGTCCATACTGGGGTCCCAGTCACACCAGTGTCATGGCCATACTGGGGGTGTCCCAGTCACACCAGGTCATGGCCATACTGGGGTCCCAGTCACACCAGGTCATTGTCATACTGGGGGTGTCCCAGTCACACCAGGTCATGGCCATACTGGGGGTGTCCCAGTCACACCAGGTCATGGGCATACTGGGGTCCCAGTCACACCAGGTCATGGGCATACTGGGCTCCCAGTCACACCAGTGTCATTGTCATACTGGGGTCACAGTCACACCAGTGTCATGGCCATACTGGGGGTGTCCCATCCCCGTGGGCCACCCATGGGTGCCGAGCATCCCACAGGGCTGGGACCCTCCTCATTGCCCCCATTCCTGCTGCAGGGCCCGGGTCCCACCGGGAATGAGGAGGAGCCGAGCACGGAGCAGAAGGCGCCGGTGACCACAGAGCAGGAGCAGCTCCAGCGGGCACCAGGGGACACGGGCGAGGAGGTGACCTAGACCCAAAGGTACCCAATGGGGACAGTGCTGGGATGGGGGGGGGGTGCATGTGTGACCCCCCCCCTCAATCTCCATCCGTCTCCATTGTGTCCCACAGCCCCCACAGAGCCGGAGCATCGGGAATTCCGGAAGGGCTGTGCCGTGTGTGTGTGCCAAATCCGACCCCTCCGTCTCGGCTCCGGGGGGCACAGACAGAGCCATGGACATGTGCCCCCCCCCCACCCCACTCCGGTTCTCTCCAACCTCCTTGTCTGATGCTCTCCAAGACTGTTTGTGGAGTGGGATCCTGGACCGAGGCAGGGATGTGGTGATGGTGAAGCTGGGGGACACTGGTTCTGGGATGCTCTGGGGTGCTGCAGGATGACGCAGGATGCTCTGGGGTGCTGCAGGATGACCTGGGATGCTCCAGGATATTTCTGGAGGCCCCGGGATACCCCAGAATGCCCTGGGATGTCCCTGGAAGCCCTGGGATGCTCTGGGATGCTCCAGGATATCTCTAGAAGTCCTGGGATGCTCCAGGATGACCTGGGATGTCCCTGGATGCCCTGGGATGCTCCAGGATGACCTGGGATGTCCCTGGATGCTCTGGGATGCTCCAGGATATCTCTGGAAGCCCTGGGATGCCTGGAATGCCTCAGGGCACTCTGGGATGCTCCAGGATGCCCTGAGATACTCTGGGATGCTCCGAATGCCTCTGGATGTTCCAGGATGCTTCAAGATGTCCTGGGATGCTCTGGGATTGGGATGGGGGGAGCCCAATGGGGGGCACTTGGGGGGGTGTGTGTAGGGTCACAGCTCAGTGCTGCAGGGCCAGAGTGACCCCAGTGTCCCCCCACCCGCCACCAGCACCCCCAGGGCCTCACAGGGACCCTCTCTGGGGTGGTGCCCCCGTGGGATGGATGTGCCATAGGGACACAGGGGGTGTCCCCCATCCCCGCCCCACGCCGGTCCCCAGCGGGGGGGATGCAGAAGGATGCGGAAGGGACCCGTGCAGCGGGGAGCAGCCCTGTTCCCCCCCTGTCGCTGTCACCAGTGAGGGCCCTGCACTGCCCCGATGGAGGGGGTGTCACTGCCTGTGTGTCCAGCACCCCCCGTCCCCCCCATCCCCTCCCGTCCCCTCCTGTCACAGAGCTAATAAATGTCATGAGATCACAGCCGGGACCTGACACGGAGCGCACATGTGTGTGTGTACATGTATGTGTACATGTATGTGTACATGTATGTGCACACCCGTACATGTATGTGTACATGCAGTCTCTGTGCATCCACGCATGGAGCCGGTACAGGAGCATCCATCCTGGGGCTGTGCACGCTGCACCCCTGACCCCCCAAACCTGCTTCCCTCTGGGAATGGCAGCGGTGCCGTGTCCTTATGGATGCCCAACCCCACAGCAGGCAGGCAGATGAGCGCCAGAGATCCTGCCAACACTCACGGTGCTTTGGGACCGGCTTTGGGACCAGCTTGGAGGCTTTAGGACCAGTTAAAGGCTTTGGGACCCAGTTGAGGGCATTGGGACCCAGTTGAGGGCACTGGGACCAGTTGAAGGCACTGGGACCCAGTTGAGGGCATTGGGACCAGTTGAGGGCACTGGGACCAGTTGAGGGCATTGGGACCAGTTGAGGGCATTGGGACCAGTTGAGGGCACTGGGACCAGTTGAGGGCATTGGGACCAGTTGAGGGCACTGGGACCAGTTGAGGGCACTGGGACCCAGTTGAGGGCATTGGGACCAGTTGAGGGCATTGGGACCAGTTGAATGCACCGGGACCAGTTGAGGGCATTGGGACCAGTTGAATGCACCGGGACCAGTTGAGGGCATTGGGACCAGTTGAGGGCATTGGGACCAGTTGAATGCACTGGGACCCAGTTGAGGGCATTGGAACCAGTTGAGGGCATTGGGACCAGTTGAGGGCACTGGGACCAGTTGAAGGCACTGGGACCCAGTTGAGGGCACTGGGACCAGTTGAGGGCACTGGGACCAGTTGAGGGCACTGGGACCAGTTGAGGGCATTGGGACCAGTTGAGGGCACTAGGACCAGTTGAGGGCATTGGGACCAGTTGAGGGCACTGGGACCCAGTTGAGGGCACTGGGACCAGTTGAGGGCACTGGGACCAGTTGAGGGCATTGGGACCAGGCCCTATCCCCTTGCTGCAGCAGAAACAAGAGCCCCCATCCCGGCCAGGCCATTCTGGCTGGGTCTCAGTGGTGTCCCCATGGTGTCCTCGCCCCACTGCTCCCCTGGGGAGCTGTGATGCTCTATGTGAGTCCCTTTGCATGTTCCCTCCTCCAGCCCAGCATCAAGAGCTGGGCTCAAGGCTTTGGAGCCTTAGGGTTTAGGAACCACCTTGAGGGCTTTGGGGACCCGCATTGGAGGCTTTGGGATCGGGCCGGGGGCATTGGGATGAGCTGAGCTGACCCCATTGCTGCAGCAGGAAGAGCTCCCCCATAGCCAGCCCATCGCGGGCTGCCCTGGCCCCACCGCTGCTCTCTATGGGTGCATTCCCATGGTCCCTGCTCCTCCTCCCAGCGCAGAGCTGGGCTCAGGGCTCCGGAGCGATGGGGATGCGGCCCCGTGGTCCCCGCTCCCCATCACGGTCCCCATGGTCCTCACGATCCTCGTGCTGGTATCCATGGATACCCCAGCGCTGGTGACCCCCGTTCCTCTGCAAACCCCCTCTCTCAGTGACCCCCATTGAGGCAGCAATGGGGGGAGCGGATGAGCTGGGGGCAGAGAACGGGGGGCTTCGGTCCTGAAGGTCTCCATCCCGGTCCTATGGATCCAGGTCAGATGCTAAGGGTGGGAGCAGGGCTCTCTGTGATGGAGAGCGAGGATTCCTCTTTGGAGCTGCTTCCTTGCAGCTCATGGGGAAGTGATGAAGGGCACGGCATAAATCAACCCCATAGGGGTTTAGTGCTGGCATAAATCAGCCCTGGGTGTGGGTCTGGCATAAACAGTGCCTGATGGGGCTCCATGGATGCTCCGGCTCAGCCAAGGCACCACAGGCAAAGGGGAGATGGAGCTTGGAGGTGATGGATCCCGGTGGATCACGATGGATCTCTCCTCTCCATAAGGAGCAAGAGGGAGGCTGGAGGGTGCCACGTCCCTGGGCGCTGCATGGGATCGGGTTTGCACCCTGCAGCCATGGGGGCACCTGGGATACACCCAATGGATGCAATGAGCATCCCGCACCCATCCCCACGCTCAGCATCCCACAGCCCCCAATGGGATCCCAGCTCCCGGGGGCAGCAGATGCCGTGATCAGGGGGGTCCATGGGGTGATGAACCCCAACATTGCTGCTGCTGCGGTTCGGTGGCCCCTGCTCTCCCCTTCCTCTCTGCAACCCAAAGCAGCACCGAGGAGAGCAGGATGTGAGCAGGGTGCACCCCCATCCCCTGCACCCAGGGCACGCTGAGCCCCATCCTCAGTGCTAAACCAGGGGGGATGCACCCCAAGTGCCCCCAGTGAGCGGGTCCCTGTCCCCACTGGGACCTGTGGGGCCATTTCCCAAAGGTTTAAGCCCAAACCTGCCCCGGTTTGAGCCCTGTGATGGGGGGAACATCCCCGTCCTCCCTGGGATGCTGTCACCAGGCGCAGTGTGGGTGACACAGGGACAATGTGGGGTGATGCTGGGCAGGCACCGGAGCACCCAGTGTGGTACCCGCCTGCGGGGATGCTGAGCAGAGGCGATGGGGACTGAGTGGACCACGATGCTCATGGGGGCTGTGCACAGGACAAGGGGGGCTCTGGGGATCTCCATCCTCCACATGACCCCGACCCCATCCAGGCCAAGCTCTGCCCAATGAAGGGTGTCCAGGGGGGGGTCAGTGCTGCTCCCCCCCCGAAGAAGGTGATGAAGATGTTGCTCTCCTCCGAGCCCAGCATCCTTCCATCCTGCCGGAACAGGAGGCGGCTCCAGTGGGATGCAGGCTCTTAATGGGGGGACATCACAGTCCCCAGCACAGATTGGAGAGGGGACCAGCGCAGGGAGATGCTGCTTCATTTCCCTTCAAAGAGACCCCTCCCTGGGGGTCCTTCTGTCCCCATCACATCCCCATCACATCCCCACGGTGACTGCCTCACCACAGAGCTCCCCCATGGCCAAGCCCGGACCCAGCCCCGGCAGGTGAACGGTGTCCTGGGGGGGTCGGTGCTGCTCTCCCCGGCTCTGCCCCCCAACAGGACGGTGAAGGAGATCGAGTGGAGCTTCTCGGCCGGCACCGGGGCCACCATCCAAGTGGCAGAGCTGGGCCCCGGGGGCTTCGAGCGCCCAGACCCCAGGGACCGGTTCAAGGACCGGCTGGAGATGTTCAACCAGACGGGGCTGAGGATCGCGGCGCTGCAGCGCGGAGACAGCGGCGTCTATGGGGCCCGCATCAAGCTGCACCCGGCCATGGTGGAGGAGCAGTTCTTCAACCTCTCCATCTACGGTGGGTGAGGGTTTATCCCCAGCACGGAACCAACCTGCCTGGGGAGAGGCAGTGAACCCCGGCTGCACCCACAGGTAAACAGGAGCAGGCGCTGCTCCCTCTGCTCTGCATCTGTCACGGGGGTAACCCCGGGTTGATGACTGATCCACAGCCCCCATCTCCCCATCCCCTCCCTGTGCCCCCATCTTCACATCCCCTCTCTGTGCCCCCATCTCAACATCCCCTGCACCCCATCTCCACATCTCCTGTGTCCCCATCTCCCCATCCCCTGCACCCCAATCTCCACATCCCCTGCATCCCCATCTCCACATTCCCTCCCTGTGCCCCCATCTCCCCATCCCCTGCATCCCCATCTCCCTATCCCCTCCCTGCACTCCCATCTCCCCAGCCCCTCCCTGCACCCCAATCTCCACATCCCCTGCATCCCCATCTCCCTATCCCCTCCCTGCACTCCCATCTCCCCAACCCCTCCCTGCACCCCCAATTTCCCCATCCCCTCCCTGCACCCCCATCTCCCCATCCCCTGCACACCCATCTTCCCATCCCCTCCCTGCACCCCCATCTCCACATCTCCTGTGTCCCCATACCCTGCACCCCAATCTCCCCATCCCACCCCGTGCCCCCATCTCCACATCCCCTGCACCCCCAATCTCCCCATCCCCTCACTGCACCCCCATCTCCACATCTCCTGTGTCCCCATCCCCTGCACCCCAATCTCCACATCCCCTGCATCCCCATCTTCCTATCCCCGTTCCCTGTGCCCCCATCTCCACATCCCCTGCACCCCATCCCATCCCATCCCATCCCTGTGCCCCAGCCATGGTCCCAGCCATGGTCTCTTTGTCCCCCACGCAGAGCCGGTGCCGGTGCCTGAGATCCGGCAGCACCAGCTCTCCATCAGCACCCATGGGTGCAACCTCACCCTGCGCTGCTGGGTGCTGAGGTGTCCTGGCAGCCCCGCAGCGCTATGGGGCCGGCTCCGTGGGGGCAGCCACACTCTGTGCCTGGCCCTGCCCTCCAGCGCCTTCAACTCCTGGAGGCCCCGAACCCCATCCAGGAGCAGAGCATCTCCATCCGCATGGATACCCTGTGCTGGCTGCAGGGTAAACCCCACCCCAGCACCCCCTGCCCCACGGCCGGGTGCTGGCACCCACTGCATGTCCCCATAGGGGCATGGTGGTGGTGGAAGTGGCTCTTAGCGGTGGCTGGGATCATGGGAATCCTGCTCAGCATCGCTTGGCTGTGGAGGAAGAGGAGGAAGAGGAGGAAGAGGAGGAAGAGGGAAGCAGAGAGGGGAGGTGGGCGCAGCAAAGCTGGGAAAGAGGGATCTGTTCCCTTCACTGGGGCTCTTTCTGCTCCTGGACCAGGATGGATCCATCCCCTTTTCCCTGCATCCCAGCTCCCCTTGGCTCATCCCTGCCCATTCCTCTCCCCGTAGCCGCCCTCATTCCCATCCCCAATGAGGATGCTCCACCGGAGCCATTGGACGCCAAGATCCAGAGGACAAAGCCCCTGCAATGGGTGAGGTTGGGAGCATGGGGCTGGGTTCGGCCCCTGGCTCCTCACACGGTGATGCCAGTGCCGGATTCATCCCCCCCCCATCTGTGTCCCAATGCCCTGATCCAGGGGGTCCCCGTTTTCTGCCCCCCAGCATCACGAGCACCCCATCACCATCTACAGCGAGGTGCAGTCAAGAGCCGGGGCTGCCATAGCCCAACACAGCCGCTGAGCGCCTCGTCCATGCTGGGGGGGCTCCATCCTGCTCCAGTGGGGGACAGGGGGTGCCCCCCAGGCCCCCCTTCATCCCCTTCAATAAAGGCAGGGGGAGGCAAATGGGGCTGCACTGATGGGGGTGCCCCAGGGGTTCTGCAGCCAGGGGTGGGGTCTGGGTGATGGGGGGTGGACAAGAGTGGGTGTCAAAGCAGCCCCCCCAGACCACAGCCTCCATGGCCAGGTCCCCCCATGGAGACCCATCCCTGTACAGCCTGGCCCCCATAGGGCTGGACCTGCAGAGCTGGATCCACACACAGCTGGATCCTGACACATACACCTGCACAGCTGGATCCTGATACAGTCATAGACCTGCACAGCTGGATCCTGATACAGTCATAGACCTGCACAGCTGGATCCTGATACAGTCATACACCTGCACAGCTGGAGCCTGTTATAGTCATACACCAGCACAGCTGGATCCTGTTATAGTCATACACCTGCACAGCTGGAGCCTGTTATAGTCATACACGTGCACAGCTGGATCCTGACACAGTCATACACCTGCACAGCTGGAGCCTGTTATAGTCATACACCTGCACAGCTGGATCCTGTTATAGTCATACACCTGCACAGCTGGATCCTGATACAGTCATACACCTGCACAGCTGGATCCTGATACAGTCATACACCTGCACAGCTGGATCCTGATACAGTCATACACCTGCACAGCTGGATCCTGATACAGTCATACACCTGCACAGCTGGATCCTGACACAGTCATACACCTGCACAGCTGGAGCCTGTTATAGTCATACACCTGCACAGCTGGAGCCTGTTATAGTCATACACCTGCAAAGCTGGATCCTGATACAGTCATACACCTGCACAGCTGGATCCTGATACAGTCATACACCTGCACAGCTGGATCCTGATACAGTCATACACCTGCACAGCTGGATCCTGATACAGTCATACACCTGCACAGCTGGATCCTGATACAGTCATACATCTGCACAGCTGGATCCTGATACAGTCATACACCTGCACAGCTGGATCCTGTCACAGTCATACACCTGCACAGCTGGATCCTGTCACAGTCATACACCTGCACAGCTGGATCCTGTCACAGTCATACACCTGCACAGCTGGATCATGTTACAGTCATACACATGCACAGCTGGATCCCTGCACAGCTGGATCCTAATACACTCACACACCTGCACAGCTGGATCCCTATATAGCTGCATCCCCATGCAGGAATATCCCTGCATGGATGGATCACAGTCAAGTCGGAGCCCTGCACAGCTGGACCCTCATATAGCAGGATCCCTGCACAGCTGGATCCCTGTATAGCTGCATCCCTGTATACCATGATCCCCACACATCTGGATTCCTGACTACCAGACTCTCTGCACATCTGGACCACTATATACCAGAATCCCTGCACATCTGAATCCCTATATACCAGAATCCCTGCACATCTGGATCCCTATACACCAGAATACCTGCACATCTGGATCCCTATATACCAGGATCGCTGTGCACCTGGATCCCTACATACCAGAATCCCTGCACATCTGGATCCCTATAAACCAGGATCTCTGCACACCTGGATCCCTATATACCAGGATCCCCGCACATCTGGATCCCTATATGCCAGAATCCCTGCACATCTGGATCCCTACATACCAGAATCCCTGCACATCTGGATCCCTACATACCAGGATCCCCGCACACCTGGATCCCTGCACATCTGGATCCCTACATACCAGAATCCCTGCACATCTGGACCGCTATAAACCAGGATCCCCGCACACCTGGATCCCTACATACCGGTATCCCCGCACATCCGGGTGCCCGCACAGGGGACCCCGGCCCCGCTCTCCCTCCGCGTTCCGCGCCGTTTGTCCCTCTCCCCCTCCCGTCGCGGGCCGGGGGCGGGTCCGTGCGTGCGCGCTCCCGCTGGCGAAGGCGGGGTTGGGAGGAGGGGGTAAGGGCCGGGCCTGTGCCGGAAGCGGAAGTGCGCGCGCGCGTGCCCGGAAGCGTGTGGGCGGTGGCGGCGGCGGTTCCGGTTCCGGTGGCCGTGCGGGGGAGGCGGCGGCGGCGGCGGCAGCAGCGAGGCGAGAGCGCGCGCACCCCCCCCCCCCCCATCGGCACCGAACCGGGGCCCGCACCGAGGCCCCCCTCCCCCCGCACCCCTCCGGACCCGGACCCGGCCCCGCCCGCAGGTGGGTCCCGCACCGCCCCCCCCCCCCCCCCCGGGTCGGTCCCGCCGCGGCACCGGTTACCCGGGAGGCCTGGGCGGGGGGGGGCGCCGTTACCGGAGGCGGGGCGGAACCGGCGGTAACCGGAGGGGGAGGCCGTGGTGCTGGGGGTGGAGGCCCGGAGGGGGGGTAACGGGGAGGTCCCGGTTCCCGGCTCGGCGAGGCGGGGACCCCCGGTAACCGGTCGCTCTGGAGGGGGCCGGTGCGGGCGAGCGGTCCTGGGGGTGCTGGCGGTGACGGGAGGCGGCGGCGGGGCCGTGCTGCTCCGCCCGGGGCAGGGGCGGGCGCGGCGGGCAGGCCGGGGCAGGCCGGCGCAGGGGGCGGCGGGGCTGTAACGGGAGCGCGGCGGCGCCGGGGCTCGTCCCGCCGCCATTTACATGCTTTGAACGTTCAAGGAGGAGCCGGGTCCGAGCCCCGGGGCGGGGTGGAGGGGGGGGGGAGCTCCCGCGCCCGTCGGGATCCGGTTTTCCCGTTGTTTTCGGGGGGGGGGAGCAGCCCGTTCCTCGCCCCGCGGCCGCTGGAAGCGATTGGAATCAGATGTGCTGGTTAGGAAGGGGGTCGGGAGTCGGGATTCCCCCCCCCCTTCCCATCCCGTTCCCATTCCCCTTCCCCTCCCTGGTCCGTGGCGTGTGTATTTTGGCAGCGGAACCCGTCTGGTAACAGGAGACCAAGTGTGTTTGGCTTGTGCCGTCTGTCTGCCGGCCTCACGTCCCGCTCCCCGGCTGGGCTTAAACCCCGGTGGGAAGCCGGTTGGGAATGATGAGGGTCAGGGAGAGCTCAGGGAAGAGGCTGGAGGTGATGAAATTCCATGGCTGTGGCTGATGCCGCTCTCCTTGTGTTCCGCAGTCAGCAGGAGGGAGAAAATGAAAGCGGGCTGCAGCATTGTGGATAAGCCAGAAGGAGGAGGAGGTAAGGAAGTGTAAAGGCTGAGTTGTGCCAGCCCTGATGGGAATCCTTTTCCCGGGATAAAGCAGCTCAGGAGGGATTAATTCCACCTCTCCCAAAAGCTCCCGGCCGTGGGCAAAAGCCGCTCAGACGTCGGCGAGGTTGGAAATGCAAATGAATCTTCCCGGAGGTGTTTTAGTCGTGAGGCTTTGGGATGGGGAAGGTGGAGCCCCCCCGGAATGCTGCGGCTCGTGCCTGCTTTTGCCTCCGTCGCAGCTTGCCAGAGGGCTGGTGGGTGGCGTTGGAGCACGATGCGACTTCTGCCACGCTGCCGGAGCCTGGGATTGTGGCTACGAGGAGTTGTAAAGAGAGGAAAGAAGGGAAAAAGATGGGGGGGGGGGGGGAGTGGGGTGGGGAAAATCCCTACCCCGATCCTGGCGTTAGGCCTTGTGCTGGGAAACTCCTCTGGGAAAGCCGGACTTGGCAGCCGCTCACAAACATCTGCCGGCGCGGTGGAGTCTGGAGCAGGCTGGAATCGGGAGAGCTGGAGCTGCTGGGATCTGTCTGCCCTCGCCCCTCTGTGTGCCAAAAGCCCACATCGGGAGCCTCTGCAGTATTGCAGCCACCTGGAGTTTAAATTGGAGCTTCTGGGCTCCTTTTGGCTGCTTCCCTTTTGGTTTGATCGTTTGTTGGCGGTGTTGGGGGATTCTCTGAGGAGAGGGGGCTGGAAGGAGTTGGGAAATGAGCAGCTCGAGTAGGAGAGCTGGGTTTCTCTGCTTCCACACTGGGTATTTAATGGAATTGAATCAAATGGAATGGAATTGAAATGGAATTCCAGCCCCAGTGCTGCTCTGTGGTCTCCCCGGGAGGAAACCCATGGTGGGACCCGGTGGTTGGGAGCTGCCGGTGCTGTCTCACTGGGTTTCTTGTTCTGTGTTTTGGCCCTTTCCAAGGTTATCATTTCCCAGAGTGGGCTTACAAGACCGAGTCCAGCCCCGGCTCCCGGCAGATCCAGCTCTGGCATTTCATCCTGGAGCTGCTGCAGAAGGAGGAATTCCGCCACGTCATCGCCTGGCAGCAGGGCGAGTACGGGGAGTTCGTCATCAAGGACCCTGACGAGGTGGCCCGGCTCTGGGGGCGCAGGAAATGCAAACCCCAGATGAACTACGACAAACTGAGCCGGGCGCTGAGGTGAGCAGCGGCTTCCCGAGCCCGGGAAGTGGTCCAGGCCCCAGGATGAGGCTCGGAGCACGCTGGGCTATGGATGGAGTCCGTGGCTTTAGATGAGCCTTAAGGCCCCTTCCAACCCGTTCCATAGGGCTGCACCGTGCTCTCCCTCCATCCTCTCTTGGACACCTGACTGTAGCTGTTCCATCCCTTGTGGTTCTGGGAGGTTTGCATCCCGTTTTGGGGATGGGATGGACACCCCGTGCTTGGGCTAGGATCAGCGGAGCAGAGTTCACCGCATCACCTCCTGCGGGTGCTGTGGATCCACACCCTGGTTTCGGGTCGTCACCACCTGGATGCTTCCCTTCCTGGAAGCTTTTCCCTTTTCTCAGCTTCCCTGGCAATGGGGCCGTGGGAGGAGGCCCGAGGTGTTGCTCCTCTCTCACACCATTGAGGGCACCGCTCAGAGGAAGCGATTCCCCTTTCCAGCATCCTTGGTACTCACCTCTTTGCCACTAAACCTGTGTGAGGCAGAGCCATTCCCAAGGCCAGGGCTTGGAATGGGTGTTTCCCAAGCCTGGGTGACAGGACACCCCCCAGTGTCCCCTTGTGTGAGCGTTCCTCACTTCACACTCCAAAGCCTCCAGTGCAGCTTCACCCTCTTTCCTTTAGCCCCTTCCATAGCGGTGTATGGTTTCCCCACTCTCTCATGTGAAGATGGTGGAAAACTGTGCCCAGCTCCTGAAGTATCCCAGGGTTTTGAGGCTGGGTTCCTGACAGCTCCGGGCATTATCAGTCCATGACATGGACTTCGCTGCCCTACGCCCTCTGATACCTCCTGGGTGGAGCTGCCAAAGACAAACAAGCAGTGAACACAAGACTCGGGTTCTGGAACAGGAAGGAAACAATAAATTGAACAGCACCGAGGCCGTAATTGGTGCTGGGGGTGGAAAACAGGCTCCAGCCTTCAGCCCTCCTCGTGTCCCAGCATCCTGGTGCTGGGGGTGGCAGCAGGGGCAGGTCTGCACTTGGAGCTGGCCCTGCCGTGCTTGGTGGCACTGTGGCAACAGGCCCCGTGTGTACCTGAGCCTCCCAAACCCAGGATGATCCCTGTGTAACACCTTTGTTTGGATACCAGGAGGAGGAGGCTGAGGACAAACAGTGGTGCTGTAAGTGGGGAGGAGGCTGCGGTGGGGATTACACCCACTGCCTCCAAGCTCTGGAGGGGAGGAAGGGAGCTGCTGATCCCAGAGGCTCCCATACCCTGCCCTCTGCAGCCCAGCGCTGCCTGTGAAGGCCATAGAATATTTGTAAGCCAAAGGGTGAGCAGAAGGGAGCAGTGTCAGGATACCCTGGGCTTTGATGGCACAGATGAGCCCCAAACCTGAGGCTGGCGGGGTAATTTGGTCCCTTTCCCTCAGCTCCTGAGTTCTGTTGCAGCCCAGCTTGGGTGCACGCTCTCCTCTTCCAGGTTCGGAGTCTGAGCACAGCTTCCCCTGATTTCCCCTTCCTGCTCTGTATCTGGAGCATTCCCTGGCAGCCACAGGGCTGGGGAACCCTTACACAAGTGGAAACGGGGAGGTAGCGCCAGTGGGATGCTTGTAGAGACCCCACAGCCATGGCTCTGGTCCTGGTTTGGACAGGGGTGAGGACATGTCCGGGCTTGGCCTGTTGAGCTTTCACCTCTCCGGAGGATTTCACTCTCCCCACGTGTTCTATGGAACATGATGCCTGGTGAGGTGGTTTGAAGGCTCCTGCTGAAGAATGTGTTGTGCAGGAGTGGGTGGTGGCTGGAAAATTCCCACTCGACTGATGTTGCCTTGGATTAATACCATCGGATTCGGGGACATCAGAGGAGGATGTTGATGGCCCTGAAGGAGTGAGGCCTTTAACCACATCACCGCTTTGCCTGAACCCTTTAACTCTCCTTCACAGATACTATTACAACAAGAGGATTCTCCACAAGACAAAAGGCAAAAGGTTCACCTACAAGTTCAACTTCAACAAGCTGGTGATGCCCAACTACCCCTTCATTAACATTCGGCCTAATGGTGAGTGTGGGGGGGCCGGGGCTGATCCCCATCAGTGATCTCCTGTGGTTGGAAGCCCGCTGGAGCAATCAGTGTGGTTGTGGTGGGCACGGCTGGCCCTTGATAAAGCCTTATCTGGAGCACTCTTTCCCTTGGCGTTGTTACAGATGGAGCTGTGGTCATCTTTGGGGGTGATTTTGAGGCATTTGGGTTTCCTCTTGGAGCTTTATGGGTGCCAGGGGTTTGCTTTGCTTTGGTGGAGGGGGGGTGTCCTTGGGATAAGAGGGGTTTAGCCCTGTGGCAGGGCCCTGGCCTCACTCACATGCTTGCAGCCCAGGTTTATGGTGCCATATAAATGTGACCCTTCTTGACAAGGAGCTTAGAGGTGCACAGGGAGGGAGCACTATCAGCGAGTTCACAGCTCTCCTCCCTGCTTCTGCAGAGCTTGCTTGCTTCACTTGTGCTCCTTTGCAAGCCAAAGGCACTTCTCTTTCCCACCTTCCCAGCTGGAGGTGGCAGGGAGGCAGCAGCCAGCACAGAGCAGAGCAGGGACTCGCCTGGGGTTGACTGAAATCACAGGTATTCCCGGCTGCTCCCTGCGGCACAGCAGGGCAGGAGAGCGAAAACGGCTTTGGGAATGGAGCGTAATTGTTCCCTTCTCCTCCTGAAGGGCCTTTGAGGCTCTTGCCAGCAGCAGGAGTTCACTCTAGCTTTGTCCCCAGGTCGGCAGCGCTGCTGTGCTCTGTCTGGAAGAGGGTCCTTTGTTTGCAAGTCCCTTTTTCATCGAATCACGGGATCATGGAATGGTTTGGGTTGGAATGGAGCTTAAAGATCGTTCACTTCCAATCCATGCCCCAGACAGGGACCCACTCTGCTAGAGCAGGGTGCTTCAAGCCCCTGTGTCCAGCCTGGCCTTGAGCACTGCCAGGGATGGGGCAGCCACAGCTTCTCTGGGCACCCTGTGCCAGCGCCTCAGCAGCCTCACAGGGAAGAGCTTCTGCCTAAGAGCTCAGCTCAGTCTCCCCTCGGGCAGGTTCAAGCCATTCCCCTTGGCCTGTCCCTCCAGGCCCTTGTCCAAAGCCCCCTCTCCAGGTTTCTCGATGGAGCTGAGCCCCTCCATAGCTGGATTTGTCCAGCTGGGGTGATCAGCGGCCACCTCACATCCAGAGACATCAGTGGCCGTTGGCTCCATCCAAAGAGCCCCTTCTGGAGCTCACTGCAAGGCCCAAGGCAACCTCTCCCCAGCAAAGCAGAGGCGCCTGAACCCCTTTGTGCCTGGTTCTCACCTCCAGAGCAGTGCCCCAGGGCACTCCTTGAAGCTCCGTCTCGCAGGGAGAGCAAAGGGGAACATGGGGATTGAAAGTCGCCTCCGAAACCCCGCGGCGGAGCAGAGCAGGTTACGTGTGGGCAAGAGCCCGTCTCCTCCCCGTGCTCGTGCGGCTCCTGCCTCCCACCGTGCTCTTGGCGCTTGGAGCTCCCCACGGCCCTTCCCCAGCCCTGGGGAGTCCCTGCAGGACCGGTGCTTTCAAGGCATCATCTCCTAGAGCAAACACCAACCCCAAACGCAGGGCTTGGGAGAAGAGAAGCACTCATCGAGGCGTTGTGCTTCACCTTCATGGCAGCGGGGAGAAGGAAATGTGCTCGCCAGGAGGCCTCAGCCAAAGCACGGGGGTGTAAAGATGTAGTATGAAGCTGAGCTGCAGATCTATAATTACTTGCAGCAACGAGTCTGGGCAGTTCCAGCTCAATATTGCTCAGTGCTGTTCCTTTTCCCTGTTTGCAGCCACTCCCTCCTATCTCTGGGGCATGCATTTAAAAAAAGAAGTTTGGAGAACTGGAATGCACTTGTCTAATTACAACCTGTTTTCTTCCCTTCTGGCTGGGGATGGGGGCTGGGATAACAAACCTGTTTTTGGGGCACTGCAGTCGAGTTTCTGCTCTCGCCTCTGCTTTGGAAGGGAGAGGAGAAGCAGCGGGCGAGCTGAGCTGGGGAGGTGAGAAGTTTGCCTTGACGTGGCTTGTTGTGGCACGAGCGAGCTGGAGCTGGAGCTGGAGCTGGGCTGGGGGAAGAGGAGCCAGGAAGAGCTCCCCAGCAAAGCCTAAATCAGGGACTTTGAGTCAGCCCCGAGCGCTTGAGGTTTCCCAGCCCGGTGCTGGGGAGGGCTCTGAAAGGGGAAGGGACTTTGGTGGCACCGGGGGGGTTCTGAGGTGGGCAGAGGAGGCTGGAGCAGTGCAGGGAGCAGCTGGGAAAGGCACCTCCCAGCCCCTGCCTCCTTGATGGTGCCTGTGTTACCCTTCCAAGCGCCTGCGGGTGCAGCCCGCAAAGCAGCTCCTCAGCTGGGGCTTAACTCCCTCCTCGCCCTTAACTCTTTGCCTTGCTCTCTCCTTGCCCTCCCCTGTCGCAGGCGTCGTGCCGCAGAGCGCTCCTCCCGTCCCCACCGCCTCGTCCCGCTTCCACTTCCCACCTCTCGACAGCCACTCTCCCACCGACGATGCCCAAGCCAGCCGCTTCCCCGGGGGCTCCTTGGTGCCCTCCAACCCCGAAGGGCTGGGGGACGGCGGCGAGCGGAAGCCGGACCTGCCGGAGCTGGAGGATGGCTCCTCGGATTGGCGCCGCGGGGTGGATCTCATGGGCTCCCGCAACGCCGTGGGCGCCGGGAGCGTCAACCACCAGAAGCGCAAGCCCGATATCATGCTCCCCCTCTTCACCAGGCCCGGGATCTACCCGGATCCTCACAGCCCCTTCGCCGTGTCCCCTCTGCCGGGGCGCGGGGGGGTCCTCAACGTTCCCATCTCTCCGGCGTTATCCCTGACTCCCACGCTGTTCTCCTACAGCCCTTCTCCGGGGCTCAGCCCCTTCACAGGTAGCAGCTGCTTCTCTTTCAACCCCGAGGAGATGAAACACTACCTGCACTCCCAGGCCTGCTCCGTCTTCAACTACCACCTGAGCCCGCGGACTTTCCCCCGCTACCCGCTCATGGTGCCACCACTACAGTGCCAAATGCCCCTGGAGGAGCAGCCCCAGTTCCCCATCAAGCTGCAGCCTCCCCCCGTGGGGCGTAAAAACAGAGAGAGACTGGAGAGCGCCGAGGGGGAGCCGCCGGTCCCTCCTGCTCCCCCCAGGGTCAAGGTGGAGCCGGCGATGGACAAGGAGGCAGAGCCCGAGGAGCCGCTGGCCAAGGGGAAAGACAAGAGCGATAGAGAGGAGGGCCCCGGTGCGCTGGAGGAGGAGAAGGGCCCCGTGTTTGCCAGGCCGGCAGCCCCATCGTGGCACCCGGCCCCGCCGCCCCCCGAGGAGCCCCCGGAGCAAGGCGAGAGCAGCGCGGAGAAGGCACCGCGTGACGCCGGCGGCGAGGCGGGCGCGCAGGAGAGGCGCGAGGATGCCCTGATGCCCCCGAAGCTGCGTCTCAAGCGCCGCTGGAACGGGGACCGCCAGGAGGGCCCCGAGGAGCGCCCCAACGGCCGCATGCACTGGACCGGGGCGCTGGGCACCGCCGCCGCCGCCGCCTCCGACACCTAAAGCGGAGCCGAGCGCTGGAACCGGCCGTGTATTTATGTAGCAAGGTTGCAGAGTGCGGGGGGCGGGCGGGGGGGCTGGGGCTGTGCCTGGTTTGGGTCATTCTAGAACCTGGGGGAGGGGGGGGGGGTCTTTGTTTTCCTTGTTGGACTGCAGGTGAGACGCGGTTTATGGCTCGCTCCGAGCGGGAGAGGCGAGGGAAGCCGGGTGCCCTCGGGCACGAGGTTCGGACCTTGCATGAACTCCAGCGGGGCTGAGGCCTCCGCGGGGCTGGAGGAGCTCCAGCCATGGTCTCTTTTCTCTGTGCTCTGGTATTTATAGAAGCAGGAATCTCCAGATTCATCTTAATTCCCTTTTTATACCCGTATCTATATCCCTATATATGCCCGGAGCCGGGTGCGATGGTGGGAGAGGATGCCTGCCCGCTCCAGACGTGCCGTGCGCCAGCCTCGGAAGCCAGCTGTGGTTTTGAGGAGGGGGATTAGGGACTATTGCACGGGCTGCGGAGCGGGGAAGGTGGGGGAAGGAAAGACAGGAGGGGGAAAGTCGCTGCTGGAAAAGGAGCCGCATTCCCGACGCGGGGATCTCGGGATGCAGGCGCCGTCCTTTTCGCCTTTCTGGAATACTGCAGAAGCCATGAGGAAAATGTTAACAGAACATAATCTTTTCAGGGAAGGGAATGGGGTGGGAAAAAGGAATAACCTAATGCCTTTAATATACGCATTAACATGTATCCTAGGGTTTTTTGTTTTTCCCCCTAATTGTATGGGTGGAGTTGGGAGATTAACGCTGGAATGATTGCGGTGAGTTCATGGAGAAGGAATGACAGGAGCTTTGTTAACTCTTATTCCCTTTGTTTGGTTCCCCATATCACTTTGACTCATGCCTTAACTACGCTTTCTGCGAGCAGGGTCTATGGACAGGAGCCGGATGCGTTGGGCCGAGGCCGGGATTTGGGATCGGAGCAAGGGAGAGCGCGGTGCCCGTGCCCACGGTGTAAATCTCGCTGTATTTTTGCTGTAAACCTGCTATTTCCCTACGCAGCTTTCCCTAGGCTCAGTAACCGGAGCACCGGCTGCCACCCGCTTGTCTCCATGAATCCCAAAGGATTCCTTGGAAGGAGCTTGGGAAGAGCCGATGTCCGCAGGGTTAGAGCCGCACGCAGGCGGTTATTCACCCGCTCGTAGGCGAGCGGCCTGTGCGGGCAGATCCCCCCGGCCCAGGACTTGGGGATTCTTGGAGGTGGAAGCTGATGCGAGTGCGGGATGAGTTGGAACCGCTCTTGGATGGGGCCGCTTGAGCCTCAGCGGAGCCAGACGCCGGTTGCGGTACCCGGAGCGGGAGCGTTATCCCGGTGAGCTCCGCATCCCCCCCCCCGGCACCTGGATGTATCTCCTGGAGAGGAGGAACAAGAGGGGGAAGGAGCCCCTCGCTCCGGCCCTGGAGAGGGGCTCAGGGAGTGAACTCAGGAATATGAAAACACGAGGCCTTTCCCATCAGTTAATGCACATCGGTCCCACCCCTGGTGCCCAAGCGCCGGAGCCGCTCGGGGAGGAGCCGATCCCAAAAGATTCCATAAGAATCCCACCGAAAGGAATTCAGTTGAACTGTTGTTTGGCTTTAAAGAGTTTGTAACTGGTTTTGGGGGGGGTTGGGTTGGGGAGGTGGGGGGGGGTTTGTTCTCTTCATAGCCATTGCACTGCAAACCGGGAGCTCCGCGTTCAGGGATACAGGACTCAGGTTCTCAGGACAATGGACCAGTGATGGGCTCTGCTTTGATGGGGTGGGGGGGGCACCCAACCCACCCCCTGCCCATGGTCCCCACCGGCTCAGGGTGCTCCCGAGCGGACTTGGCCTTGCCTGGGCAGGGGGGGGGGTGCTGAGAAATGGAGGTGAAATTGAGAACGGAAGCGTTTTCTTTCTCTTATTCCGATGTGCCAAAAGATTCCAAGCGGTCCCCGCGCGGGGTCGGGATCTCCACGTCCACCTGTAGGAATGACCCCAGAGCATGTTCCTGTTTAAACCATTTCTGCTTTGTTTAGTCCTAGAGAAGCTGTAGGATAACAAAAAAAACAAGAGACTTGGAATGGGACAAGGAGCCGGACGCCGAGATTTCATGGATGGGGGGGGAATTATGGATCAACGGGAGCCGCCGTGGCTGAACTTAATGAAGCTCCAATGAGCCCCGAAGCGGGGCCACCGCTGCTGGACCCCCCGGATCCGGAGGAGGAGGAGGAGGAGGAGGAGGAAGAGCCCCTCTGCGGAAGCATTAACCCAGCGCGGCTCCCCCGGCGCTCCCTTGTCCCTGCCTTTATTTATTCCATACTTCTGGTTTATTTTGGGGGTTTCCAGTCATTTTCTGTTGTTGTTGTTGCTCTTTTTGTTGTGTCTTTGGGATCCTGGCTTGGGCTCCAGCCCAACATTAATAATAATGGATTTATTTCTCTTTGGGGTTGAAAATAATCAGAATTGTTTAAAGACTTCAAACTATGATTTACTTATGGGGGGGGGGGGAGAGGGGTTTTAGAGTGTTTTTAAGGAGAAACTATTCATAAATAGACCATTTTGGGGGGGGTCGATGGGGTTTGGTTGGGTTCAATCCCTTCTCCTGATGCTTTGGCTGGGATGCGCAGGGATGAGCGGACGGGGCCGCGGAGCCAGCGCGGGTCTCTCTGTACAAACCAGTGTAAAGTCGTCCCCATCCCCTCCGTTGTGCAGTGCCTTTGGACGTTCCACTTTCTAGAAAGTCTTCAAAACAAGTCAAAACCACACAAAGTTGGCATCTATATATTATATATATATGATGTAATGTTAGAGAAATATATGTATAATATACATATTTTTTTCCAGGGGTATCCGATAGCTCTGTATTTTGTTATGGAAGTTGAAAGAGAAAATACACAAAGTATTTTACCTCAAATTAAAACGTTAAATAAAACCTTTTAACTAAGCAGCGCTGGCTTTGGTGTCCGAGCGGATCGGGATGTGCTTGGGTGGGATTTGGGGGAGCAGCTCCTGACCTCCGGTTCCTGCATCCCAAACCTCTGGTCCCATCTCCTGGTGGGGAGGGAGGGATGGACCAATCCGTGTCCCGTTGCCCAGGGGTGACTCGGGGGAGATGGATGGATGCATGGATGGATGGACCCACATCCAGTGCCTGGGGATGGAAGGATGGACCAACCCATGTCTTGTCTCCCTGGGGCGACTCGTTGAGGATGGATGGATTCATGGATGGATGGACCCACATCCAGTGCCTGGGGTTGGAAGGATGGACCAACCCATGTCCTGTCTTCCTGGGGCGACTCGGTGGGGATGGATGGATGCATGGATGGATGGATGGGCCCACATATCATCTCCCCAGGGTGACGCAGTGGGGATGGAGACATGGATGGACCCATGTCCCAGCTCCCCAGGGGAATTCGGTGGTGATGCATGGATGACCCCATGTCTCATCTCTGGGGTTGACTCAGTGGGGATGGATGATGGATGGAGGGAGGGAGGGATGAAGGATGGATGGATGGATGGATGGATGAAGGATGGATGGATGGATGGATAAAGGATGGATGGATGGATGGATGGATGGATGGATGGATAAAGGATGGATGGATGGATGAATGGATGGATAAAGGATGGATGGATGGATGGATGGACAGATGAATGGATGCATTGAAAACCAGAGCATTCCCAGAGCCCTAAAGCTCGGCTGACCAGGCTGGGGAATGCGCTCTTGTAAAGCTGTGTTTAAACTGAGCTCAACCAAACCCAGCTTCAATCCCTGCTGCCATCAGCGCCCTTCCCATGGGAGCGCTCTGCTGGGATGGGGGGGACATTCCCTGGACCTGCTGCTGTGTGTGGGGAGAATCCTCTGGGGCTTTCCAAAGCCTTTGCAGGGACGGCACCTGGCTCGGTGGGATGCAGGATGCTCACTCGGGCCTGTGGGAGCCCCCCCAGGGCAGTGACACCCCTGGGAGCTTCCCCACACCCTCTGCACCCCATAGGTCTCCCTGTTCCCAAACTGATCCCGGGGGTCTCTGCTCCCTGTGGGAATGTGTCCGCAGCACCAGGAGCCCGCTGCTGTTGGAACCACCTGGATGCACCGGAGCAATAAAAGCCCAAAGCTCTTTCATCCCGTCCCAGCCTCCTCTTCACAGCAATTAAACCACCTCCAGCCCCATTCCCGCCCCGGGGGCTGTTAATCCTCCCTTGGCTCCCAAAAGGCACCTCTGGGAGGCAGCGGGAGCTGAGCCGCCCTATCCTGAACCCCAGGGCCTGATCCCGCCCGGCTCCACATCGGCTGCACCCCGAAAGGAGCCTGGAGGGGATGGGCTGGATGGAAACGTGACCGGAATGGGGTTTATTCCCGGGATTCTGTCGGGGTGATGGCCCCCAAAATTCGACAAGATCAAGAAGCCTGTCTGAAATAGGAATTCACACCCACTGTCGTGTAGGATGAGTCTCGCCCTCAGCACATGCTGTGCCTTGACACGGTAGCTGACTGTGTCAAGTCACTGCCACCAGCAGATGTTCAAACCCAAAGCATCCAGAACAGGCAGACAAACCTCCACCGTTTTTCAGCAACGTTTCAAGTCACACAATAGTCAGTCAAGGTCTTTACAAAACATCCCTAAACAAGAACAGAAGCCTCTTTGACAGTTTCTCCCTCAAAAGCAATACCAAAAAGCCACACACCCTTGAGGAAACACTCGTCCTTCCGGGTGGCTGGTGTCTTACCATGGCTCTTCCCCAAGGCAGCAATGACCACGGATGTGGGGGTCTCCAAACTTCAGGACACAGTCCTCCGGCAGTCACCAGCTCTGGGCCAGAGTCCTCCCACACCCAGCAGTGCCCCTCGCTGTTCCTCTCTTCCCCTGCCTGACTCCCTGCCTTTAGTTTCTAATTCCCCCCTGTGTGTTGTGGAGCCTGTTGCTATTTCCCCCTTCTCCAAATGTCTCTCTCCCACTCCCTTCTCTTCTTTCAAGCCTTGCTTTCCCTCTCTGTCTTGC